AAAAAAAAAAGTCAAAAGTGGCAGGGATGCGCTGGGTTAGGGCTGGTAGGAAAAGCAGAGTGTAAAAGTTTATGAGCTCATCAGGATTGTTGTACCATTACATCAGAGGCAATTATAAATGGCCAAGAGCAGGAGATGGGGAGCCAATCAGATCACAGATAGGATGTCAACCTAAGACCAACTGTCTCCTGGCTTTGACAGAAGGATTTTACCTCCATAATTCAAATCCCAAACCAAAGCAATCTGCACTTACTACTCCCAATCACTGAACTGTTTACCAGCACTGCCAGGCAAAAGCTGAAGGCACCTGGCGATCTCAAAAGGTTACCCAGAAAATGGCTCCGGCCAGCCTGGACAAGAGGAAGAGTGTCCAAGGAGGTCCCTTTGCCCTCTTCTTTACCCCCCTGGCACCTCGCAGGGCGCTCAAGCCGACCCACCCCAAGTGGGGGGGGGAGAGAAAGAGGGGAGATGGCAGAGAGCAGAGCCCCACCGACTTCGCCAGCCCCCCAAGCAGCTCCACACACCCTTTTCTTTCCCCCCCAAGGCAGCAACAGGGAGCTATTTTTTGCCACCCCACCCCTCCCACCCCCAGAGGTGGCGGCGGTCAGCCTTGCCTGCCTTCTCCCCCCCACCCCATCCCCAGGAACCCCCACCCCCGACAGGCTCGCGGCGAGGAACAACCGAACAGAAGGGCCCCCCCTCAGAAAGACCTGCCACTAAGGCTGGAGAAGGGAGGAAGGGAAAGGCAGAGAGGCAGCCATTTTAGAGACAGAGGAAAGAGAGGCAGACAATGGCAGCTCGCTAGCGATGTGGGCCTGGGAAAGCCCAGACGAGCCCGGCCCCACGGAAGAGGCCCCCCCAGCCCCGCAGAGAGGCAGGCTCCCCTCCTGGCTTTCGCTCTCGGCCCTCTCCAGCCGCCGCCGCCGCCCCCACCCACCCCCCCCAGCCGACGGCCCAGGGGCGCCCCGGCACCCCCTTCTCCCCCGCGCCCGAGTTTTACCTGTTGGCTCCTGGCGAGCGACTGTCCCCCGGCGGCGCTGCTGCTCCCGGGGCTCATGGGCGCGTGGTGGCTCCTTTGTTGGCTTCCCGGGCCGGCTGCCGCCCAGCCCTGGCCGGTGCCCCCGCTGTATTGAGAAGCAATGTCCGGTGCGGCCGGGGCCTTGGCCGTCGCTCCGCCGTCCTGGGGGCCGCTGCCGTAATCGGCCCCTGGGTACCCTTGATAACCCCTAGTCGAGCTAGGGGAAGTGAGCAGCTGGTTGAGGGTGGGGGTCGACGTGGGTTGCGGGGAAGGGCCCCCGATGCTGCCGCCTCCTGCGCCGCCGGCCGAGGGCCCCATGGCCCCGAACCGCTGCTGCTGGAAAACCGAAGCCGGCGGTTTCGCCCCGGCTTGAGCGGGGCTTTGAGCGTTTCCCCGGGGGGAGCTCAGGGCGTAGGCCTGAGGGGGAGGCGGGTAGGCGCCGGCGCTGCGTCCGGCGGCGGGGTAGTAGTTGTTGTACTGGTGGTTGGGGAAGCCGTGCTCCGCGCTGCCGACGCCATGCGAGTTCTGGGGAGGGGGCGGCCCCTGGGGGGGCCCCGCGGGCCCCGAGTACGGCTGCTCCAGGCCTCCGCTCTGCAGCGCTGCCATGCCAGGGCTTTGTTGTCCGCCATGTTGGTGGAAAGCAGCGGCCGCGACGACGGCCGCAGCCGCCTGGGCGCCTCGACCGTAGGGTTGCCCGAACCCGTAGGCTGGCGGGGCTAAGGCGGCCGGATGAGTCGGGGGCGGCGGTTGCTGCTGCTGCTGCTGTGGCTGCGGCGTCCCCACCCCGTCGCTGCTGTTGCTACTGCCGCCGCTACCACTACCGGGCGGCTCCGGGAGGTTATTGTTCAGGGTGGCGACGGGCCTAGGGCCCGGGTTCCCGTTGGGGCTCTTCAGGTCGGGCTCGGCCCCAGCGCCCCCGCCATTGCTCTCGGCCCCGTCCTGCAGTTCCTTTCCCGGGGGACCTTCACTTTCCGACTGCTTCTCGCCGCCGCGCTCCGCCGCCTCGCCCCCCGCCTCCTCCGACGAACAATCCCGCTGCTGCGCCTCCGCTTTCTTCAGCTCGGACGGAGCCGGGGCACCCAAGCTGCTGGCGGCGGCGGCGGGGGCCACCTGAGCGGCCATGATCCCCCCTCCCCAGCCAGCCAGCCCCCCCCCCCCGCCCGACCTACTCCCCGCCTGGCCGGCCGGCCGGCACAAGGCCTCACCGCTCTTCTCCTCCTCCTCCTCCTTTCGTCCTCCCCGCTCAAGCGGCGGCGGGCTCCGCGGGACAACGGGGTCTCATTCCTCCCCCGGCGCGGCGAGCTCCGGCGGGCTGGACGCGGGTGCGAGGGGCCTGGCCCCGCGGTGCCTCCTCGCTCAGTTGCAGCCGGCGAAGAAAGGGGAGAGGAGGAGGAGGAGGAGGAGGAGGAAAGGGGGAGGGGAGCAGGACGGGGCTCCCGGTGGGGGAGAGGAGAAAGGGAAGGGGGGCACAGCGGGCGAGGAGACGCCGGACGGAGCCCCTTGCGCGGAGCCGGGCCGAGAGGCGAGACCGAGACAAGCCGAGTGGCGGCGGCTTCCGACTCTCGTCCGCCGAGTCCTGCTCACTCCGACACGAGGCTCAGCACTGCCATTTTACCCAGCGCCGCGGCAACTTGCCAAACCCGGAGTGGAATCTGGCGCGGAGCGGAGCGCCCTTTCCCCTCCCCCCTCACAAAGGAGGAGCTGCCAGGCCCTGGACGCTTTCAACTCAGCACGGCTGAAGCTGGAAGCGAACAGCCCGCCGGCCGCTCGCAAAACCTGACACGGAATTGCCGGCGGAGGAGCCGAACTCGAGCTTTTCGAAGCCACAAAAGGAAGCTTCGCTGCTGACAAAACAGCCAAGATGGACCGGGGGAACCTTCGCTTCGGAGGACAGCGGAGGCAGCTCCGGGCCCGCCCGCTCCCAGTAACCCTCCGAGGGAAGCGGCAGCCGCTTGCTCTCTCTTTTTTTGCAAAGCGCACAAAGCCTCCCGTCGCTAGGAAAGTCCAGGACTTGGTAGCTTTAAGGGCAGGAGGGATTAAGAGACGCCGCATAAAGGCCGGAGAGATGAACTGCCAGAATAGATCAAAACTTCAACCAGAGCCCTGCTGGATGGAGCAGGAGTGGGAAAGTTCACTCTACTTGTGATGCTCACTGTAATAACTTGGGAAAACCGGGTGATGGGTGGCACTGTTCCTTCAGAAAAGGCGGCAGGCGTCGAGCATGTTCAAAAGAGGATGGATTTTAGTGGTGCAATTAATACCTTTTGGGCCACTGGTGTTCGTTTGTATAATTCGCAAGACAGAGTGAACTTCAGTTAATCACGGGGCAAGTTCACACCAACAGTGTGAGCCAAAAACGTTAACTGCCAGTGTAGATGGTTCAGTGTATTCTGCAAACTGGATCTTGGGGAACATTGGTCAAGGTTTTAATTCAAGTAAACACACCAAGAAATAAATTTACATTTCTTGTGACTATCCTTAATGCTGCAGGGAGCATGCCTTGTGCAGCCTAAGTTTCTTTCACCTGAGCAATATGCGGGTCCAGAGGACAACAGAATAATAAATTATGTGCAACATGTGCGGTCTATATCTACTCAGTTGGTGTTTGATGCCCAAATGTGTACCCTTGTGCTGAAGGACCATGCACCACCAAATCTATTAGGTTACTTATATGCCAAGTCCAGATTATGGCTGAACTTGCAGCAACATACAAACCTAAAAAGAAGTTGGATCTGATTGCCTTGATTTCCACCAACTACTAGGCATTCAGTCCATCAAGATTCAGTGATTCACGGGTTAGCTCATTGTATGAACACAGCCTCTGTGATGAATAGCAGAAATATACAGATTTAAAATTTACAATTAATAAAACAAAAATTCCAATGATTCTAGCAAGCATACTGGTGGCACAAAAGAAAAAGGCAACACACGTAACATGTTTAATCGTGCCGATATGAACATTCCATTTAAACTACCAAACAATGCAGTAAACATGAAACCAATATCCCTTCATTAAGTTTCCCAAATCAAATCCACCCACCCTATAGGTGTTATTTCCAGTTTTGGCCTCAAAATTGCTTACTGTTTTATCTTTCATTCTTTATCTTACATTCTACCTTTGTGGCCTACTTCATTTTTGATAATTCCTAACTATTCAGTTGATGAATCACATTCTGTTAGCCACACGCCTGAAATACTATGACCTGTGCAAGTAATTCCAGATGTTTGTTCTTCTACCCATTATCTTATGAATGAAAATATTGTAACTTGACTCCTTTTAAATGTCAAGTTTTGAACTGCAACCCTGAAGGACTTTCCATACCTTTGATTCTAGCAGCCCAGAGGTGGATACAATAGACCACATACACAAAACAGTTTCCTAAGTTCTCATTTGTTTTGTGGCGTGTCAAATTAACAACCCAATTATTTTATATTCAAGTAAAATTATCTCTTCCACTTGCCCAATCCATTCCTTTCATGCAAATATGTAAACTGTAGGATTCGAAAATCCTAAGACAACCTTGGGAAGGCATGCACAAATTGACTAGTCAAGGTTTTTGGTCTTCCCTTTTCAAAACTGTTGATTTCGTACACATGCATGCAGAGGGTGACAACAGAGCACTGTGTGTGTGTATGTGAATAGATAGCATAAAAGTCAGGACAAGAACTTGAAGAGAATTGGTAAATCAGACAAAGGCCCTACAGTGCCCATCATCTTGTTTTCTACAATGCTGCCCCTCGCCAGATGCCCATCCAAAAGCACGCATAAAGGCAACACTCCCTTCCTATCTTAATCCCCAGCAATTGTTGTTCAGGAGCAGGCAGTCTTAAGATCTTTGGTGGCAATATATAAAACCATTGTCATGGGGATGGGAGGAGATGCACTGCTCTAGTGATGTCATAAGGAGCTTGCCAATGCTATACATCCCTTCAACACTAGTGCACCCATAGTCCCTATTAGAACTGCCTTGCTAGCAGCAGTGTGCATCAGCCAGAGGCTCACAGTTGAGCCCACTGGAGAATTGGTGGTAATGGAGAGAGATTTAGAGACTTAAAAACAACAGTAGGATGACACAGGTATCAAAATAAAATTACTATCCAGAAGAAAATTAGGAAATGAGCCCACCCTTCAGAACAAATGTAATATTACCAAACGTCTTGAGAATTGCCATGATAGCATTAATTGATGTTTCTGATCAGCTGACAAACCAACCATCATACCACTCTAATCAGAACTTCTATTAATGCTTCAGAACTCTTGTTTTCATCAAGTAAGCGGGCTTGGCTATTGACACTCCATAATCCTCTATATTTTGTAGTCTTGTTTAAATGTTAGTAGATTCAGATCTTTCTCCCTTTCATTCTTCATTCTTTAGACAAGCCATCAAGGGATGTAAGATACTTTCATCAACATTCTAGAATGTAAAAGTTGCATTCTACTCAGCTCTCTCAAAGCCTCATCCATATTATCTTTAATTTATTTTTTATAAGCTGTAAACAAATAACTGGTTAATCTTTTGTTCAATTTTTTTGCACTTGAAATCCTACAATTAGTAATTCTTACTTCCCTCAGGACTTATTTTTCAAGCAGTACCTTACCAACCTGAGGAACAGGCTGTTTCTTCCTTCCTGGGGCATTCCTCGATCTGCAGACAATGGCACTTCCCAAATTACTAACCCAGCAAGGACTGGGGTTCAGTGTCAAAGCACATGCTTTGCACACAAAGGCTGGGTGCTACGGCATAATGTGGTTTGTTTGATTTGGGCTTGGTGTGGTTTACAGCTAGGAAGGGATTGTGAACCCAGCTGTGACTTACTTAACAAATCATGGTCAACCCATGTGTTGTACGGGAAGTTAGGTAAACCCATCCCACATCAGGGAAAATAGGCTTATAGGAAACCTTGGGAAGCTAACTTGCTAGGGTATTAGTATGAAGCAACTTTGGTGCAAGACCATCTTTTCTATTTTGGGAATGTTAACTCTTACCTGATGTTCAGCTATAACCTTTTGTTTCTCCAGACCCAACTAGCGAGACAATTCCAAGAAAAAATATATGATGGAACAGAAGTTTTGATGTCATGTATTGACAAACGCCTGCAACAATAGCTATATATTACCACCAAGATCAGAGACCTGGCACCAATGAATAACAGTTGTTGAGGGACAGCATCAAGAAAGGTCCCATGTCCTGCCAGGTGGGCACCTAGTATGTGTGCAGGACTGTTAAAAACAGATGCAGAACTCAGGGATGGGTTCTACTTACCTTTACTACTGGTTTGCAACGGGGCCGCCCATGCGCTTTGCTCGCGCACACTCTTCTGCGCATGTGCAGAAGCATTTTGATGACGTCGGGGTTGGTGGGCTGAGCCTCCCGCCAGTTTTACTACCAGTTCTATAGAACCGGTGCGAACCAGGGGCAACCCACCACTGGCAGAGCTAAAAGGACATTTACTGATCCACAATTCCAAGCACCCAATCCCAGTAGAGCATGTGGCTGCTTTAAAGAACTGAGGCAGATGATACAGTCATACACACTCTGAAGCATTACAGGTTTTTTTTGGGGGGGGGGAAACATTTGCACTTGCTTTGTATTAACTAGATTCTCACATGCTAAGTTATGATGCATTTTTTGTCTCTGTGTTGTATGAATTCACTCATAGATTTATTAACTACGGTTCATTACTTCATGAACTCACTGACATAAAGTTCTTGATGCAGTTACTTCCGTATTCACAATTTCTACTTTGATGGTATTAAACCTTATAATTTATGGGGCTTAGCTTCAAGATGAATAGAATAGAATAGAATAGAATAGAATAGAATAGAATAGAATAGAATAGAATAATTTTTTCTTGGCCAAATGTGATTGGACACACAAGGAATTTGTCTTGGTGCATATGCTCTCAGTGTACATAAAAAGAAAAGATACGTTCATCAAGAATCATAAGATAGAACCTTGGAACTACACGGTCAATATACTGGGATGTAGCTTAACTTGGATCAGGTTGTAACCACAATCCAGCTATACAAAATAATAACTCTATCCAGATGCTTCCATCTGGGAAAGCAAAGGGAAATCATCAAAGCCATTAAAAAACAAAAGTTAGAATATTTTGGACATATGATGCGAGACCCAGAAAAATACGGCATCCTTCACTTAATCCTCCAAGGAAATATTGAAGGCAAAGGAGGTCCAGGCAGAAGAACAACATCATGGCTCCAAAACCTAAGGGACTGGTTTGGACCAAACTCAGCAGCCCTTTTTCATACGGCTGTTGATAAAAATAGGATGGCCAACATGATCGCCAACGTCCAATGACGGATATGGCACAAGAAGAAGAAGAAGATGCTTCCAACTACAGGCCAATAATCCCCTGTGAATATGACCCTAGTGAGGTGTACTTCTAAGACACAGAGTCCAGAGTACCTGAAACAGAAGGGCGTCAGGATATAATTAGCTGTCCTGACCCACCACTGAAGACTGAGGGTCAACACCAATTATGGCTTTCCAAGGTATCAACCCCAGGCTGAACGTAGCATGATTTGTATCTTTTAAGACTTATTTCTGACTTTGGTGGGCTGTATTTTTGTTCTTTTGCTGGTGTACATTGTTAAAAGCGTGTGCAAATTGCATTTTGGGTCGAAGGGAATTTAGAAATACTTCAGGCAATTTGAGTGGGAAAGCCAGCAGCTTAAGAGCGGATGCGAAAGATATTGAAGGCTCTGGCTCCTCCTTTCTTAGGACAGCCAGGTCTCGAATGCAAGGCACTTCGTTCTCCTCTCCTTTCATTGGATACTGAGCACATGGCCTCCAGAGCAATGCCAGCTCCTGCTTTGCTTTGATACCACAGTTCAGTTCGCTTGTGACTCCCAGATGGCAATACAGGCCACCACCACTAGGTTGGCTCCTATTAAAGTTGAGTTTCATGAAAGTGGTCCTGCCACTTAAACACAGCATCAAGGCAGTTTAGGAAACCTGGTCTAGATTAGGGTGCTAAAAAAGAGAGGAACAGGGTTTCTCTCTTTAAAACACATTTTGCCAAATGTGTGATGGCAAATGTGGACTGAATCGTTGACATGGAAACGGGATTGGAACACACTCCTGACTCCCTCCTTCAGTGTGGGCAGAGGGACAAGCACAAGCCCTTGTACACACACACACACATATACACACACACAGTTAGAATTATCCCTGGCCCCTAAGCAGGCTGCAAACATGGCATGGAATCCTTACTAGGAATAGGGTTAATGTTTCAGAAATAAATGCTTCTAACCCTGAAAACAAGAGGAGGGAAAAATACAGTATTAAAGAAGGTTATGAAAAGAAGTGGGGTTGGGAGGGGGGTGGAAGGAGGGAAGAAAACTAGAGAGGTATACTTAGGAGAGTGCTGGGTGCTTTTTCTTTCTTTCTTTTTTTTTTTTACTCAAAGGCACAGCATTCTGAGATAGCAGCAGCACTGAGGAGGAGAGCCATCTATTATTTAGAATAGAGTGACTTACAAAATGTGGAATGGAATCCAGGCTCACTTGGATTATGTACTAACCCAAAATACTTTGGGGGGGGGGCAGAGAGGAATGGCAAAAGTGCTGAGCTTCAGCTAATGCTGCCGTTTCCAATGGGTTTGTGTTTTGTGAATTTCCTTTCTTCCTTACTAGAATCCTGACACTTAATTCTTATTTTTTTTTGCTTTCTCTTCCCAATATGCTTCTCATCTTGCTGGGAAAGACCAGCCTACTGAGCAAGTAACATGGAATGTATTCGACTCTCCACTGGGGCAACAGCAGCTGCCAGCCTTGTGTTTCTTTTGGGGCTAAATCCCTCCCCACCCCACCCCACCCAAGATTTTTCAACCTGCCTTCTCTCCCCCACATTGATACAGTGCTGGGTTTGGGGGAGGGGAGGGGCAGGATGAGAAATTTTTTAACAGCGCAAAACTGATGTGGAGTTTGAACATAAGGCAACGATCCATTTGCGGAACGCAAACTGTAATGCTCAAAGAGTGACATGGATTTTCAAGGTGAGGGGCAGTGCTGGCCCTGAAAATGAAACAAGAGGGTTTGGGGAAAGAGACCCAAGTTAAAGACCTGTCAAGAAGGTTCAAATGAATAACCGTGTTTGATTTAAGATTTTACAGTGACTGACTTCCAAAACTTTAGGCTTCATATTAAAAGACAAGAAAGTGGACTGAGCCGAAGTCAAGGAAATCTATTATTTTACCAGTCCTAGACTTGAGAGAGTCAAAACCTGGAACGGATCACGGTAAAGACAGATGGAGTGGAACCTAAGGTACAGCACATTCTGTTCCTGTAATATAAATCTCAACCTGCAGGGGTTTAAAAAGGGAATGCAAAGGAAAAGCAGGGAGAAAAGTAATAGAAGAGATCTTGGGCCAAATGTGAGAAACTCTTTTTTTAAAAAGCTATAATATATTGGTTTTGTGGCCTTCTGCATATTCTTGAAGATAGTTGTTCAGAAATAAGATCAGTGCAACTGCAGAGGCATGTATAGTAAACACCTAGATCTGAAACCAATGAACCTGGAGAAAAAGGGCAGCTCCGACATTTCAGAATGATAAACCTGACTAGAACAGTAAATACAGGACCAAGAGCAGACTTGGAAAATATTTTGAATTTTAAAGAGCAAACTTATGTGGCTGGTTAATTTAAAAAAATTTTTTTACAACGACGTATTTGAAGGTTTACAAAACTGGTGCTCTGGATCAGAAAATGAACACTTTTAACTTTTTTTGTTTGGAACACGTATTTCTTACCAGCACACCACCCACCTATCCAAACACTATTCTGTTAGAACTTGGGAGTCTCGCATCACCATCCAATAGCTTCAATCACCATCAATCCTGGGGACCATCACTTGCCATGGAATCCCATATCATGAGTTATAAATCATTACTTTCAACCATGCACATACGGTATACAACAGTCTCCCTTACTCAGGCCTGTCAAACTGCCGGCCTGTGGGCCAGATGCATCACACACAGGCCACGCCCACCCCGGCTCCGCAAAGGCAAAAAACCATCACGATACGTCACGTGACGCGATCAAGTTTGACATCTGTGCCCTTACTGGTGCATTCTGTTAATAAAATCTTATAAATCGGATCTCAGTCTAAGCATGCAGAATAACAGATCTTTCTTCCAAAATGTTTACATAACTTCAAAACAAGAGAAACAGAAAGCAAGAGATGAAGCTGCAACTCTCTTAGTGCATTTTTCTACTAAAGAATTAGTGTTCTCCATCCAGTCTTGATATTCCAGGCCCCGATGACCCTCCAAGATAATGGGTTATCAAGCCTAACCTATTTTATGCAAGTTGATGTCTGCTCTTGCATGGTGTAATACAGGGGTCAGTAACCTGCAGCTCTGGAGCTGCATGTGGCTCTTTCACCCCTCTGCTGCGGCTCCCTGTCACTCAAAATGTGTGTGTCACAACCGCCAATGTGCGTCACCTGCCAGCACGCGATTTATTGAGCTTTTCAACCCCTGGTAGGCCAATCATGGATAAATCCAAGAAAACTACAAGAAACTACATATTCAACTACGTATGCTAATTTTGTGGCCGTTCAAGAAATAGTCAGGCATGGGAAGGGTTTTGTGGCTCCCGGTGTTTTCTTTTCTGTGGGAAATAGGTCCAAATGGCTCTTTGATTGTTTAAAGTTGCAGACCCCTGGTATAATAAGAAGAGGATTCAACATGAATACTCAAAATACAAAGCATGAGATGAAGGCTACTTCACTGAGACACAGTTGTCACGGCACATACATGCTTTGTTACATGCAAGTGCAAGTGCAGCTGGGCACACTTACAGTACAGGTGGTCTTCCACTTACAGTCATTTATTTAGCAACTGAAAGTCATTTACAACCAGTCTTCGCAGTTTCAATCGTTGCAGCATCCCCAGAATCACATGATCAAAATTTGGGAGTTGGCAACCAGCCTGTGTTTATGATGATTGCAGTGTCCCAGGCAGAGGTGGGTTTCAGCAGGTTCTGACCAGTTCTAGAGAACCGGCAGCTGAAATTTTGAGTAGTTCAGAGAAGCGGTAGTAAAAATTCTGACTGCCCACACCCCCATCTATTCTCTGCCTCCCAAGTCCCAGCTGATTGGGAGGAAAGGGGGATTTTGCAGTAACCTTCCCCTGGAGTGTGGAGGGAATGGAGATTTTACAGTATCCTTTCCCTGGAGTGGGATGGGAATGGAGATTTTACAGTATCCTTTCCCTGCAACGCCCACCAAGCCACCCCCACAGAACCGGTAGTAAAAAAATTTGAAACCCACCACTGGCCAGAGTTATGTCATCAGCAATCTTCCCAGCTGTCTTTTGACAAGCAAAGTCAATGGGGTAAGCCGGATTTGCTTAACAGACACGATTCGTTTTAACTGCAGTGATTCGCTTAACAACCACAAGAAAAAAGTTTGTAAACTTGGGCATGGCTCACTTAGCATCTGCCTTGGCTAGCAATGAAAATTTTAGTCCCAATTGTGGTCGTAAGTGGAGGACTACCTGTACTTTATCCATATAGTAGGATCCACAATCTGGGTCGGTCACTGGGACCAGAGGTTTAGTCTTCCGAGCTTTTGGATTCGTGCTGGAGCCCATCCTCAGGGAACTTCTCTCTCACCAGAATGCCATTTAGCCATATATCCTGAAACCCTGTAATTAAAATGAAAGCCTTTTATCATTTTCAGTACAATGGTATTTCTTCTTACTGTTACTGATGTCCACTACTTTGTGAGAGAAAGAGAACCTTTTTATTGTCAAATAATTACTTTCATTTCCTTTCCACATTTTATATCTTATTGCTACTTATATGCAATAAGTAACCTGTACAATAATATAACTAAGGAGGTTTGTGAATGTAAATTTGAATTCTTTAGAAAAAAGAAGTATATGTTCTGTTGCACTTAACGTAAGATAAAGCATAACGTTTAATGATTGTAAATTTTATACACTGAAATATGTAAGGTTCCAACTTAACTCCAATTTCTGACTTCCATTAACAGAACTGATGGTAGAAAGAAACCATGTTCAAAAAAACACACATTAAGACACATAGTAATAAAAATGGTTTGTCTATATGTACTACAAATAGTTGGGATAAGACACTACACAAAGCTGTAAGCCACATACTATATATTAAAAACACAATAGTTGGTTCATAGGACTATGACTGCACTTTTAAAGTCATGATTTAGTCATGGTTACTAAATAAACTAGAATTGTCTCAATTCTTACATTAAACCATGTTCTAAATATCCAATGATTAGACAAAGTATTTTAAACCCAACTTATCAAAATATATTATAGCTTAATATGACACAAATCTAGTTCATACTTGGGGTATAAAAAAAGTTACCCAATTCATTCATCGCGCTAAATCTACCTGTTATGGTTTATAATTCATGATTTGTAGCTTAGCATTATTGGGAACTACAACCACTGCAGCGTATGCTGCACGTGGTCATTAAACAGGGCCTTAATACAATACGAAGCAATGTTGAAAATGTTATTGTATGATCCCAACATATCAATAGAGTTGACTAAATGACTCTGTCACATTCCCAGCTTAACAAACACGTTGAGGGGGGTAAAATCTGTATTATCATTCTTTATATACCATCCTATAGTCAAAGTCATTCAGGTGGCTTTCAGTTTTTTAAAACCAAATGCAAATGTAACATGAAACCCAGGAGAGGATGCAATTGTCAATAAAGACAAGCAAATTAAGAAAAATACAGCTGGTGTCCACCAGAGGGTTTTTTTTTAATGTTTTCTTTTGCCACGTTTGAATATGTTTGCAAGAAAGGATTTCCCCTCCCCCAAGATTAATTCATGCAATTAAAAAAAAAAGCCTGAACCCCAGCACTAAGTGATGGTAGTCATTGACAAATAAGAATAAATTATGATAGAATAGCCCACCTTCATCTTCTCTACCAATATTTTGGCCAACTCAGTATCTGATCTGGACTCTTAACGTATTGGCTCACTCAGTTTCCTCTTTCAACATTGCTTTTGAAGCACGGTGTATAAACATCCATTTGAACAGAAGACAATGAAGAAGAAACCCAAGCCACACTATATGCTGTACTAAACTGACTGTATTTCACCACTTTATTTTTTTTTTTCATATTACACTACATGCTACATATGCGAACATCCAGAAAAAAAATAAAGCGTATTTTCAGTTATAAGAAAGACAGTTGTTGCTTAATGGAATGTCTAATAATAGATGAAAACTAGCATTACTTTGTAAAATGAGACACCAATTTGAAATCCCCTTGAAAGCAGACTTGCTGCAGATTGAAGTGCTGAACAATTTCACACACACTAGACCAGGGGTCTCCAACCTTGGCAACTTTTAAGCCTGGCGGACTTCAACTCCCAGAATTCCCCAGCCAGCTTTGGAAGTCCGCCAGGCGTTGAAGTCCGCCAGGCTTAAAGTTGCCAAGATTGGAGACCCCTGCACCCAACCACCATATTGGTTTAAGGCAGTATTGACTACTTTTATACTATTTTCATAACTACTAAGTTAAATGGCAATGTATGGATTCCAAAACAAATCACACTGTGGCCATTTTAATACCAAATATATAGAGCAGTGTAATTAACTAATGATGTGCAGTCTGTACACATTTGGGAGGTATTTTGCATTGCCTTGATTGAACATGCAGAGGAAACTGTGCCACCTAGTTTTAATTTTTATCCTCATAATCATCCTATTAAATGGATTAGGTCAAAGCTTCCCAACTGAAAGTGAAAACATGAATTAGTTTTCCACATTTTGCTTTTAGTGGAATAGGAAAAGTCACGTATTTTTCTGCTGGAAATACTGTACTTTTAATGTTAATGTTGAAGATTAAACCTTCAACAGGTTTGAAGTTTCTCAAATAAGCCTTGGTGAGTCTTGGCGAAAGTAATTTTATACGCAAAATTCTTCCAAATATATCCATTCCTCATATAGCGACCTCAGTGGGCAACCATTTGCAAATACAACAGTAATAAAAATTAGCTTTCTGATCAAAACGTGCACTTACGGTTAAATTTTGTGCTCTTGACAATACATGCCAAAGTGAGAATAATGGTGGCAAAGCTTTAAGAGAGTATTTATTTCAATGAAATAGCAACAAAATAGCCTCCCTCCCTCCCTCCCTCCCTCCCTCTCTCTCTCTCTC